TGTCTTCTCTAAGCCTGAGATTTTTGTATGAGATACGTGGAGACGTATGGGGCTAAATTCAGAAGTATGAGCTAGATACCCTTACACCCAGTTCAGACTCCCCAAAATCTATTTACAGGTGTACAGAGTCCAAGTTTGGCCAGCTTATGTACCCAGAAGCAGGAAAAAAGTTGTAAATTAAATTAAGGACTGAGAGGCTACTTTAAACTACACATTCAATCTAAATAAACTGGACAATCCAGGAAGTTTTTGGAAAGCGTAGGGGACAATTTCCTGGTGCAAGTGCTAGAGGAGCCAACTAGGGGGGGAGCTTTTCTTGACCTGCTGCTCACAAACTGGGAAGAATTAGTAGGGGAAGCAAAAGTGGATGGGAATCTGGGAGGCAGTGACCATGAGTTGGTTGAGTTCAGGATCCTGACACAGGGAAGAAAGGTAAGCAGCAGGATACGGACCCTGGACTTCAGGAAAGCAGACTTCGACTCCCTCAGGGAACGGATGGGTAGGATCCCCTGGGGGGCTAACATGAAGGGAAAAGGAGTCCAGGAGAGCTGGCTGTATTTCAAGGAATCCCTGTTGAGGTTACAGGGACAAACCATCCCGATGTGTCGAAAGAATAGTAAATATGGCAGGCGACCAGCTTGGCTTAACGGTGAAATCCTAGCGGATCTTAAACATAAAAAACAAGCTTACAAGAAGTGGAAGGTTGGACATATGACTAGGGAAGAGTATAAAAATATTGCTCGGGCATGTAGGAATGAAATCAGGAGGGCCAAATCGCACCTGGAACTGCAGCTAGCAAGAGATGTTAAGAGTAACAAGAAGGGTTTCTTCAGGTATGTTGGCAACAAGAAGAAAGCCAAGGAAAGTGTGGGCCCCTTAATGAATGAGGGAGGCAACCTAGTGACAGAGGATGTGGAAAAAGCTAATGTACTCAAGGCTTTTTTTGCCTCTGTCTTCACAAACAAGGTCAGCTCCCAGACTCCTGCGCTGGGCATCACAACATGGGGAATAGATGGCCAGCCCTCTGTGGAGAAAGAGGTGGTTAGGGACTATTTAGGAAAGCTGGACGTGCACAAGTCCATGGGGCCGGACGAGTTGCATCCGAGAGTGCTAAAGGAACTGGCGGCTGTGATTGCAGAGCCATTGGCCATTATCTTTGAAAACTCGTGGCGAACGGGGGAAGTCCCGGATGACTGGAAAAAGGCTAATGTAGTGCCCATCTTTAAAAAAGGGAAGAAGGAGGATCCTGGGAACTACAGGCCAGTCAGCCTCACTTCAGTCCCCGGAAAAATCATGGAGCAGGTCCTCAAAGAATCCATCCTGAAGCACTTACATGAGAGGAAAGTGATCAGGAACAGTCAGCATGGATTCACCAAGGGAAGGTCATGCCTGACTAATCTAATCGCCTTCTATGATGAGATTACTGGTTCTGTGGATGAAGGGAAAGCAGTGGATGTGTTATTCCTTGACTTTAGCAAAGCTTTTGACACGGTCTCCCACAGTATTCTTGTCAACAAGTTAAAGAAGTACGGGCTGGATGAATGCACTATGAGGTGTGTAGAAAGTTGGCTAGATTGTCGGGCTCAACGGGTAGTGATCAATGGCTCCATGTCTAGTTGGCAGCCAGTGTCAAGTGGAGTGCCCCAGGGGTCGGTCCTGGGGCCGGTTTTGTTCAATATCTTCATAAATGATCTGGAGGATGGTGTGGATTGCACTCTCAGCAAATTTGCGGATGATACTAAACTGGGAGGAGTGGTAGATACGCTGGAGGGCAGGGATAGGATACAGAGGGACCTAGACAAATTGGAGGATTGGGCCAAAAGAAATCTGATGAGGTTCAATAAGGATAAGTGCAGGGTCCTGCACTTAGGACGGAAGAACCTAATGCACCGCTACAGACTAGGGACCGAATGGCTAGGCAGCAGTTCTGCAGAAAAGGACCTAGGGGTTACAGTGGACGAGAAGCTGGATATGAGTTAGCAGTGTGCCCTTGTTGCCAAGAAGGCCAATGGCATTTTGGGATGTATAAGTAGGGGCATAGCGAGCAGATCGAGGGACGTGATCGTCCCTCTCTATTTGACATTGGTGAGGCCTCATCTGGAGTACTGTGTCCAGTTTTGGGCCCCACACTACAAGAAGGATGTGGATAAATTGGAGAGAGTCCAGCGAAGAGCAACAAAAATGATTAGGGGTCTGGAACACATGACTTATGAGGAGAGGCTGAGGGAACTGGGATTGTTTAGTCTGCAGAAGAGAAGAATGAGGGGGGATTTGATAGCTGCTTTCAACTACCTGAGAGGTGGTTCCAGAGAGGATGGCTCTAGACTGTTCTCAGTGGTAGAAGAGGACAGGACAAGGAGTAATGGTCTCAAGTTGCAGTGGGGGAGGTTTAGGTTGGATATTAGGAAAAACTTTTTCACTAGGAGGGTGGTGAAACACTGGAATGCGTTGCCTAGGGAGGTGGTGGAATCTCCTTCCTTAGAAGTTTTTAAGGTCAGGCTTGACAAAGCCCTGGCTGGGATGATTTAGTTGGGGATTGGTCCTGCTTTGAGCAGGGGGTTGGACTAGATGACCTCCTGAGGTCCCTTCCAACCCTGATATTCTATGATTCTATGATTCTTAGAATACCCTATTTTTGTTTCTCTTGCTACACTCCTCTTCCAAGCCCATCATTCCAGCTTAGACTCCCTTAGACGTGGTGGGTGCTGTGCATGGGGTGTGCATAGCTAAGTTACATGCTGGTAAGTAGGTGTGAGTCTAAGGGCTTGTCTAGATGATGAGTTAAGTGCGTGGGAAGCTGGGCTGTAAATCTACAGCGCACTAACTGGGTATATGGACCCTGTCCCTGTACCATGCACTAAAAGTTGCTTAGTGCGCTGTGATCTACTCAACTTTGAAAGAGAGGTAGATCAAAGGGCACAAACTTTAAGCCTGCGTCTGAGCTAGGGGTGCGATTTCCTTGTTTGCGTATACACTAGCTCTCATCAGGTTAGCGTGAGTATAAACAGCAGTGTAGCCACAGTACATACAATATTTTCTGTTTCGTACACAAATTACAAATATTCACCTGAATACAGGCTTTTGTCTTGAAAACAATCTATAATAAGCTTAAAATCCTCTAGTTGCCTAAAATGGTGGCAGTGTATCACTGATATTGAACTAGTCCAGTTATGGTAGCAGAGGTGAGGATTCTGTGAGCCTAGTATGGAGCTGAACCCAAATGAATATAAATGAGGAGATTTAGCTTCTTCTGACCACCCCCCCCCCATCCCTTGCCCAGGGCCTGATTCTCCTCTCACATCAGTGTAAAACAAAAGTAACTCAACTGATGCCTAAATCCCACTGAACTGAGTGTCAATGCAGGTTCTGCTCCTGACTTCCTCTGCGACCTTGGGCACTGCACTGAGTGGAAAACTGTCAAAAGCACCTAAGTGATTTAAGAGCCTAAGGTCCATTTTCAAATGGGATTTAAGTGGTTTTTTGAAATTTTACCAGTAATCTCTCTGTGATTCAGCTCCCAGACATAAACATTTCTCCCATTCTTGTCCTTTTAAACTGTAAAAGGACAAGGATTATCTCTTGGCATGTATTTGTACAGTGCCTAGCATAATAGGGCCTTGATCTCAGTTAGAGCCTCGAGATACTACTGCAGTGCAAATAACTTATAATAATGGAGTTACAGCAGAGCAAAAGTGGGTGTGTAAGTTACAGAAGGGTTTGAATGGGAAATAGTGCTTTAACAGTATGATCCATATATGTATGGGATAGAAAAGGAAGGGCTAGTCTGACAACAAATGTAATTTTCAGTGTTTGAGAAAGAGTTATTACATAGTATGAGCCCATCATGTTTTCCTCTATTTGGGAAAATGGCTTTCTGGACATTATTTAGCTCATGGCATCAAGAATTGTGGATCTGCAAATGTATGCATGTCTTTGGAAGAAAGGGAGTCATCAGAATTTATTTTAAATGTTGGAATTAGTCTCCTGGACTGGCTCTCAGGTACTTTTTATAGATCTGTTTCATAATGTATACTGTCCTCTCAATGCTCACAGATACCAACTCATTCAGGGATTTAAGGGATGCTGAATATAGGGAAAAAAACATAGTGACATCAGCATATTTTCCCACGGTTTCTCGTAGCTGGAAGAGGCATCATTCATTTTTGATCTAGGACTATCTATTTCATAAGTGTTTCTAGACTCCTGCTGTATGGAAATTAAATAACATAACTAACAATGTGCTGGATTTGTTTCCCCTTCTTATAATTTCAGTATCTATTGATATTTTCCATATATTAGGAGGTCTAGCTCATTGCTTGTTGATGTCATTACAATTAATGCTTTAGGACACTAACTGAACCTTGAAGATGTTTGCGTTTTCTCTGTAAGGAAACCTGTTGTTGGAGGGTATCTTTTTTTTCCCCAACGTCAAACCTGGATGGGTTTTATCCATTTTTGTTTCAGAAGATAATTTGGAATATTAGTTAATGAGGGACATAATAATCAAACTTTGCATTTCTAAAGCACCTTCCAGCCCAGGAACTCAAAGCACCTTGATAACTGTTAAGGAAAAGCTCACAACACCCCCATGATATAGGCAAGGAGTATTACAGCTGCACAGAATACTTCTTATTTATGTCTGTGATACTACAGAATCACAGAGCACCTTCTGCTGAATTAGCGACATCGCCTCCTGTAGCTTTAGCATCCTTGGGCGTATTGAACATGGCACAGAGCCTAAGGCAACATTCTTTAAACCAGCCTCTCAGACTGCAAGTCTATGGTGTAACTGCCGTGTAGAATCATATTTGCTGTGTCACAAAGGGTTTGCTGCATTTCACTTGTTCCCTGTCTCAAATGGGCAAGAAGTGCCAGACCTTGTGGGCTATATGGAATAGCCTCACAGCTGGAACTTTCAGTGTCCATTTGGATTTCTCTTTTCATAACAAACATTTTCTGTACAGAGAATCTGACACACACACACGCACCCCACAGTGTACCTCTCTCTTCTTGGTTGAGACAACAAGCTCCAGGAAGGACTGGTCTTCACCCCAGGAGTCAATTTCCGTGAGGTCATAGAGGACAGAAGTCACAGGGCCAAAAGTCCACAGAGTGTGCTTTCGCTTCTGCATGAGGTGCTGAAACATCTGAGGAGTAAGGAGAGGGATGGTGCGGAATCAGTCAATGCCCAGGAATTCATGCAATTTACAGTACACATATGCCAAACTGGGTAAAACAAGTTCTGCATTAAAATTTGGCACTGGGTCTTTTTGCAGTTTTCATATCTTGCAAAGGTTTGCTTTTCTGTGCCATTGACAAAATGGCTGCTGCTGCATTAACAAACTCTACATCCAACCATCTGCCGCACACAAAGTGCTGAAGCCTCCTCTAGCTCAGGTGTCATTTTTAGCACCTTCAAGCAAAAATAAAATCACAAAAAAGGCAATTTCGGGGATGAAACGAGCTCATTTGTAAGAAAGTGTTTTTTTAAAAATTATCCCGTCTCCCCCACAAGTTCGAGCAGTTTCACCTTTTGTCACAAATATTTCACACAGATCTATCTAGGGCGACACAGGGGGCTGCTATTCTGGAAGACATCAATGAACACTAAGCCTAATACCTTGCCTACAGTGGTGGCCAATAACAAATACTCTGGAGAGAGGCATTAAGCCCCAATATTTATATCTGTGTATTTTCAAGCATCTAGAAATGCAATATTATGGCGGGAGGGGAGGAATTTCTTCTTGATCCCCAGCTGATGATCAATTCATGCGTTGCGGTAGAAGGATTAGCCTAGCCAGCTGGTGTAAATTAGCTTAGCTCCATCAACTTGAGCTGAGGACCTGATTCTCAATTCTCCTTTGTGTACGTGTCTAATCTAGCACTGAGCCTGTATCACCAAATTGAGATCTAGATCTGAATTTCATCCAAACTGGCCTTACCTGTTTGAAATTTACTAAGATATCTGACTGAATGCCATCTTGTGGCCATGGATTCCACAGCTTAATTACATGCTGGTCGCAAAAAAAATTCCCTTTACTCTGTTTTAAAGGCAACCTGGTAAGGGGGGGAAGTGTTCTTGTCCTATATTGGTACATAAAAAGAGTCCTGACATTTTTGTGTGTGTTTGTTTAGGGGAAAGTCTGGATGATTTCCCACCATTTTGTTTTTATTCGGGCTGTCAATTAATCACAGTTAACTCATGCGATTAACCAAAAAATAATAATCATGATTTAAAAAATTAATTGTGATTAATTGCACTGTTAAACAATAGAATACTAATTGAAATTTATTAAATATTTTGGATGTTTTTCTACGTTTTCAAATATATTGATTTCTATAACAACACAGAATAGTGTACAGTGCTCACTTTATATTATTATTTTTATTACAAATATTTGCACTGGAAAAATGATAAACAAAAGAAATAGTATTCTTCAATTCACTTCATACAAGTACTGTAGTGCAATCTCTTTATCGTGAAAGTGTAACTTACAAATATAGATTTTTTTTTTGTTACATAACTGCACTCAAAAACAAAACAATGTAAAACTTTAGAGACGACAAGTCCACTCAGGCCTACTTTTTGTTCAGCCAATCGCTAAGACAAACAAGATTGTTTACATTTACAGGAGATAATGCTGCTTTCTTCTTATTTACAATGTCACCTGAAAGTGAGAACAGGTGTTCGCATGGCACTTTTGTACCTGACTTTGCAAGGTATTTACATGCCAGATATGCTAAACATTCGTATGCCCCTTCATGCTTTGGCCACCTTTCCAGAAGACATGCTTCCATGCAGATGATGCTCATTAAAAAAATGTGTTAATTAAATTTGTGACTGTACTCCTTGGGGGAGAATTATATGTCTCCTGCTCTGTTTTACCCACATTCTGCCATATATTTCATGTTATAGCAGTCTCGGCTCCTGACCCAGCATATGTTCATTTTAAGAACACTTTCACAGCAGATTTGACAAAATGCAAAGAAGGTGAGATTTCTAAAGATAGCTACAGCACTCGACCCAAGGTTCAAGAATCTGAAGTGCCTTCCCAAATCTGAGAGGGACAAGGTATGGAACATACTTTCAGAAGTCTTAAAAGAGCAACACTCAGATGCAGAAACTACAGAACTCGAACCACCAAAAAAGAAAATAAAGCTTCTGCTGACTCAGATGGTGAAAATGAGCATGTGTTGTTCCACTCTGCTTTGGATCATTATTGAGCAGAACCCATCATCAGCATGGATGCATGTCCTCTGGAATGGTGGTCAAAGCATGAAGGGACATATGAATCTTTAGCACATCTGGCACATAAATATCTTGCGACACCAGCTACAACAGTGCCATGTAAATGCCTGTTCTCACTTTCAGGTGACATTTTAAAGAAGAAGTGGGCAGCATTATCTCCTGCAAATTATAACCAAACTTGTTTGTTTGAGCTATTGGCTGAAGTAAGACTGGGTGGGTTTCTAGGCTCTAAAGTTTCACATTGTTTTATTTTTGAATGCAGGTTTTTTTGTACATATAATTCTACATTTGTAAGTTGAACATTCAAGATAAAAGAGATTGCAATACAGTACTTGTATTAACTGAATTGAAAAATATTATTTCTTTTGTTTTTTACAGTGCAAATATTTGTAATAAAAATAATAATATCAAGTGAGCACTGTACACTTTGTATTCTGTGTTATAATTGAAGTCAATATATTTAAAAATGAAGAAAACATCCAAAAATATTTAAATAAATGGTATTCTATTATGGTTTAACAGTGCTAATTTTTTTAATCGCTTGAAAGCCCTAGTTTTTATATTAGAAATTCAGTTCTTGTCTACACTGTTTTTCTTGGAAGATTGTGGCTGACTGGAGAAATGCTAAATGTATGGCATCGAGAGTAATGAAGGCTAGGTAATGGAGAGAAGTTCCCTGGTCCTCCATGTCCGTGAAGATCCACAGCAAAGGAAGAAAGACAAGACTTGATATTCCTTTTCTACACAATTAATAGGCTACCTGGATGCCAGTCGCCTTAGACACAGAACACCTGAGCTACCCATTTCTGAAAGCCTTCTTCTGTGAAGAGCTAACTGTGCTGTGAATGAACTTACCACAGTGTTGCCTTCCACTCCAGCCAGTTTGAACGGAGTGAGCCCCTCACTGTTTGGAATTGAGTCCAGGGTTCCCAGACTCCCATCGCTCTTGTCATAGGAGAGAAGCAGGTTGTACATTTGGCAGGCAAAAGTCTTGTTGGGCTGGAATACGAGGATGTGGAGAACAGTGTTGCCTATGGAGGAAGCAATGCAGGGACCATGAGACATGATACAGACTCGAACAGCTGATGTGCATTAAAAATAATTCTTGATTAACAAAACTAAGGAGCATATCATTGATTGATAACATTAACATCTTCTTACATTTCCCTAGCACCCTCCATACCAGAGACTGCACGTGGAGTAAAGTAACTGCTCAGTGTGTGTAAAAGTGGCAGAACTTGGCCATACACAAGTCACTTGGCCCATGAAGAACTCTTACCCAGAGAGTCTTGTGCTCTGATGTCAGCTCCATTTTCAATGAGCAACCGGACGATCTCCTCACTCCCCACGCAGGCAGCAAATGATAGAACATGCTCCCCTGAAGAGGAAGCGACAGAGGGAAAATACAACCCAGACCACAAGGAAATAAGCACACAAGCCAGACGGAGACATGTATGGGAATCTGTGCATGCTGATCAGTCTGAGCTTGGGAAGGGAAGAGAGTTACCCAGAAGTTCAATAAATTCCACCCCTCAAAAAAGTCATACTACTGAGTGAAACACATCCCCCCCCCCCCCCCCTCCTCCCGTCAATATGACAGGATGGGTCACAGCTCGGGGAGACCTAGGCTCTTAGAAAGGACACCATTTAGCTAGTTGACAGGTGAGAGAATTGCTGCTATGCTGCTAGGATGATCTGTGTTTAAAATGAATTGGCGTGCCTGGTAAAAACTGTGTAACTGACAGCCCTGGAGAGCAGAGCCCTGTATTTATCTAGAGTGGGTATAGCATGGGCAGCATCACTGCAAGCCTTCCCCACACTCCCTCCATCACCCAATCCTCTAGTAAGAGAGAAGGAAAAGAAACCCAGTCTGTCCTGGGAGCTGCAGACAGGACGTACCAAAGTAGATAAGGTTATGGGCACTGCGCCTGAAGAAAAGTCCAGTGGCCCGTGGGCTGGAGACATTGGCCCCCTTCTTGAGCAAAGCCTTCACCAGATTAATGTTCTGATTCACTGCAGCGATATGGAGAGCTGTCTGCCCTGCAACACACGTGCACCCAAATAAAACACATCCTCTGGGAAATCCACCTCCAGCCATTAAAGCAGAAATCAGTGATCTGCGCCCAGGTTTATTGTGTGTACATTGTGAAGTTTAATAGGCTTGTGCCAGAAAGAGTTCTGCCACTTGCCAAGAAGATGCGCAGGCTGCACATTTGAGATGTTTGCTAGTGGAGACAGAAGAAACACTTGGGCAGCTTGAACGATGGCTTTCCATGAGGCAGAGAGGTGCCAGGCTCATCTGGCAAGTGAACTGAGAGCCCAAATACTCAGATGAAGACCCTGTTTTTTCTCACGGGGAATGAATAGCAGGTTAAGCTGTGACTAGACAGGGACACCAGCTTCAGTTCTCAAGATGGAGATTGGGGTAAAAAACCCTCTTTTTTAAAAAAAATATTTTGGAGAGGAACATTGTTGTTTAGAATCCTAGCTTGGCATTCCTGTTTCTGCAATTGCACTTATTCTTTCAGACCTGGCTCCATTTTCCTTCCCTATTTTTGAATCTGGCCATTTAGCACCATTTAAATCTTTAAAAAAATTTCAGCTGTATATGCTTACCCTCACTATCTGCCTAGCTCTTGATGCTTTAGAGCCCTTTCCCTGAGTAGTTGTGCAAGGGGAGGGAGGAGTTAACCCTGGGATCACTGAGGACCAGATAACTGAACATCAAAAATCTAATATAGTATAAATAGCATGATAATCATTTTCCACATTCCATTGCACAGCCAGCTGATCCAACAGGGACCAGAGCCTGTCCTTTGTGTATCTGTGTGACTGTTCCTATGCAGGTTTCAGAGTAACAGCCGTGTTAGTCTGTATTCGCAAAAAGAAAAGGAGTACTTGTGGCACCTTAGAGACTAACCAATTTATTTGAGCATTAGCTTTCGTGAGCTACAGCTCACCTCACAAAAGCTTATGCTCAAATAAACTGGTTAGTCTCTAAGGTGCCACAAGTACTCCTTTTCTTTTTGTTCCTATGCAGAGTTCAACCCCAGGTTACACCAAGCAAACAGGAGACATTTGAGGACTTGTTTCACAATGCTATAGTTTAGCAATACAGCAAAACAGGAGATCTCTAACCCACTGTCCTCACTGGGTAATATTTATTTCCTGACTCTCCAGAGGGATCCCAGTTCAGTCTCATGTCTTGGTGATGGTACCTTCATATAGCTCCGATGTCATCCTCTCATTAATGAGTTCTGGAGCTGCCTCCATCAGAGCCTGAGCAGCCTCCATATTATCATACAAGGCAGCCACATGAAGAGCTGTTTCTCCCACTGCGCCTGGAGAGAGTGGGAGAAGCATTCAAGTCATCTAGTCATTCATATGTATAAGACAAAGCTGAGCACAGATTTCATATTAATGGTGGGAGCTTTCTGAGTGGAAGTGAAGTCTAGCAAATAGAGGGACTCAGGAAACCTGGGTTCTATTTCTGACTGCCACTGGCCTGCTGTGTGACCTTGACTTTCCCTTTCCATGCTTCTGTTTCCCATCCCATCCTTTGTCCTTCTTGTCTTGTAAGTTCTTTGGGGCAAGGATTACTTCTTACTGTGTCGGTGCAGTGACTAACACAATGGGCCTCTGATTTCAGTTGTGGCCTCTAGGCACTACTGTAATACAATAATATGCCAGTGTGGAAGAGAGTTTCTCAAAGGTGATGGGTGGAGATATTTATTGCAGAGAACAGTCCTACAGTAGGCTGGGTAGGGCAAGGGAGAAGAGAGGCCTAGACAAACTATTACCCAATAGGTCTTTTCCACCTCTAAGTTTCACAGTACGAGCTGAATAGTTCTTTGATAGAATAATTGGGACTGAACTAGGAATTTTACTTTGAGGCAGTACTTAGGCCACTGGATTCCTCCTTTCCTCCTGCTCCAAAAGCCCAGGCCTTAGACACTCTCCTTCAGCTGTTAGCAGTAAAAGGGCTAAGGATATACAGTCAGGCAGTTCTGATACCACGCACGGGAAGGTAGTGGTGTGCACAAACACTGCAGTAGTGTCTTGGTTTCCCGAGGAAGAATGAAGAAACTCAGGACAAATAACCACAGACTCACACTGGTAGGACCTGGATGTCTGTCATGGGTAGGGAGCAGGAAAGTAAGGGACAATTTACCTCTTTGATAGACATCGCAGGTGCCATCAGAGATCAGTTTCTTGATGGCCCGGAGATTGTTCTCCTTGGCAGCCTGGAGAAGTGGAGATTCCCAGATTCTGCAACCAAGAAAAAACAAATGTTAAAAACCACAATTTCACCCACTTCTCTCTGACCTAGAATTTAATTCTTCAAGATCAACATGGCTTTCTGGAGCCAGTAGCAACCCTCAAGCTTAGCACCTTCTCTGATAGGTAAGTGCTTGTTATGCACTGGTGCTACTCTTTGAATTTCCTCCCCTGTACAAAAAGAAAAACAACAACACTGCGATAGAGAAACAGAGCTCAATAAAAGAATAACAAGAACTGGGAAATCATCAATTCTTACTGCACTGACATGAGACCACATGGTGGCAGCAAAGGGAAAGAGATGAGAAAGAGTCAGTTATGCTTTGGAATAAGTGACTCCCAAACTGTTTCAATTTCTAGATTGTTACCCACATTTAAAACAGATAGTTTCTTTGTTTGAAAGTGTGTCAGTGAAAGAGGCTCAGAGACTGCATTGCCAGTCATTAGAGACCTGTGCTATCAGTAGTCCAGGTAGCTTGGGAGCAAAAAAGCCAGCAACTACATCCCCTTATTTCAGGGATCCCTATACAAATGGTGTCTCTTCACTTGGAAACCTAAATTCTCACCATAATGGGTAGGAAGGAAAAGGAGATAAAAAGAAAAATCCCCTCATCAACACCCCAAAGCTCCAGAGGCACAATGAATGGACTAAGAGCTAAACGATAATCTCATGCTGTGTGGGAGCTAAAGACCCAAATCTTAAGACGAACAATCTTTCCCCTGTTGCTGAAGGGAATTATGGAAGTTATGGAGCACTGAAATTGTGCAGCCTGGTTTGATGCCAGCTACGGGAAACTGAGCCGGTAAAGCATGTGCCATCAAACAAGCTCCAGACAAAGTGAAACAACTCTAGGAGAAGCATGTCCTTGGCTGGTTTTACCCACACCCCAGGGTCTTGATTATTTCAGCAGATTTGTTTGGGTTGACTAAGAACTTGCATCCACACAGTGCCCTGGGTTTCACCTATGGCAGGGTCCCATGATGAGATCAATCTCCTGAACTCCACAGAGCCTTGCCAAGAGAGGGCCGTCAACGCCCACCAGTCTTGCAATATTTGGTTCTTTTCTTCTAGCCCCACATAATTCCACATGATGATGTGAAATTCTCAACATTCAATTTTAAAGCAGCAAGTTTCTAGCCCTCATGGTTGCAGGAAAGAGTTTAAAGCATGACCCAAGTGACCCCTAAAGGTTCAAAAGCCAGGCGGCAAAGAAAAAGAACCCCAAATGTATTATTTTTAAAAATCTCATAATTTTTAATCTGGTCTCAGGATTTTTGGGTGCCTGGCTCATAATTTTTGAATTGGTGGGGGGATGCTGCAGGCCCAGTCTGCCAACTGCTATTGCTGTTTTCACATACAGTAGCTCACTGTTGATTCAACACGAGGAGGACCATCAATCTGACCCAGTACAGCCAGAGGTGGGATGCTGGCTTAGATGGACCAATGGTCTTAGGTCTTATGGCAACACCTACATTCAATAATTAGCAAACATGGTAAGAAAAATTCTGAGAAACAAGCAAATGGGGAAATATGCTCAGTGAGTTAGCCAGTAGTAACTGAAAGCCCCACCAGACCCAAGCATGGATGGCTGCCAGGCCAGCATTCTTCCCAAGGTAGAACGGCTGCCCTGATTGGAGTTGATGCACAGACTCTCAGTGTGAGGAATGAGTCATAGTGCAGCCCCTCCACCTCCACAGAGGGCTGGGGAAATTCCATAGGCCACCCCTTGAAGTCTGCCTGTGTCCCTCCAACCTGAGTATAAGAAGCGGCTGGCTCTATCCAGCCTTGGGAATCTCAGTAGAAAGGGGTCAAGGATAGTCAACAGGAGTGTTACCTTTAACCCTACTATGTGGGCTTCAGTCTCTGGAGGAGGGGGAAGGAAGACGTTTACCTTGTGATAGAGACAGGCTAGAGCTTAGGCCCATTTGTAAGGAAGAAGTATCCGGTTTCCCAGGGGGATTAAGGAACCCTGAGACTGAAGGGTTAATGATCACAGTTTTCTGGATAATGAATGAAAGAAGCACACACAGAGAAATACAAATGCATACAGAGGACTAGAAGGAGCTGGTCTCCCCTCACCCAGTCACTTCCCAAGCCCTTTGCAGGCTTGCTTCTCCACCCCACCCCACATGCAGAGTTTTAAATTTAACTTTTCACTAGATGGGAATGAAGGTTCCCCATCATACCAAATTATTACATTGTCAGATGTCTCCTGGGTCTAAAAAAAATAACCATACCCAAACCCTTCACACTGTGATGAAGTTTGGATGAGAATTGAAATGGTCATGCCTCCATATAGCAGGCCCAAACAAGAAATTAGTATTGTCAAACCCCAAGTGTTCAAAATTCATGCATCAGACATCCAGAAAATCATGATTTTTTTAAAGGCTAATTTTGGATTCCTTTTTTTTTGCCTCCCAGTTTCTGAGCCTTTGAGGTGCACTCAGAACATGTATTTTTATTTCCTCAACCACAAGGCCTAGAAACTTACTTAAAAAATAAAAAAAAATAAAAAAGAAATCTGAGTTTGTCAGAGTCACTTGACTCCAAGAGCTGAAGCTTTAAGACAAAAGACCACGTATCACTAAACTCATGATGACATTGTGAGATCTGGCAACATTGATAATGAAATTCCCGTTGGGTAAATTCCAGTTTAAATCTGAGTCTGGATCCAAACTCTGTAACTTTGTCTGATCTCTACACTCATGTAATACATTCATTACACTTATTCTGTTTTACCTAAAAGAGGCCTTAGGCCATCTTGTATCTCATTTACACTGGTGTACTAGTGAGAGTAAGTGCCACTAATGACTCGAGTTACTCCAGAGTCATGCTGATGTGAGAGCAGAATCCAGCCTCTTTTGTCTCTTATACGGCACTGGTGCTTCTTTGTCTCTTCTCATAATCTAGTCACTGTTGGTGGAGATCCTTGTAGCCTGAAATTCAAAATGAAAGCAAGAAGGCACAAACCCCTGTAAATCAAAATCATAAAGTTTGGGACAATTCTAAAGTTACCTCCCAAGTCTCTTACTCATGGTTTACTATTTAGCTCTATGGTTTCTGTGGGTTCAGGGCTCTGTTTGTATGAAAGGCGCTGCACAAAACAAAAGGTGCTTTGCATTGTTAATAGAACTGGTGGAATTTGTCAGAACACATTATCCAATGAGTTTACCCCTTTTCTGTTTGTGAATCATACAATACCCAGTCCTGGTTTCTGCGAATCAGTGGTTTATGGGAACAAATTTCAGCCTATGCAGTGTTTACATACAGTTCTCTTCAACTCTTCACTATTCATGAGGAGCCTCTAGTAGGTAGTCCACAGAAGATAACCAACTACTAATGTTAGCATCTAGCAAAACTTCTCCTTTAGTTTAAGTAGTTCTATCGCTCCTATGGCCCATGGCAGGGCATTACAAACTGGCCAATGAGCTACATACTGTTAAGTCTTATGGTATCATTTCCACTCCCTTATGGGATGACCAAACCATTTTAAATATATAAGAAATAGCTGATAATGAACTATGCACTTTGTGGGATGAATTTCTGGATTCTAACATTTTTAAAACATTTGGGACTCAAGAACATATTCACCAATACACCCATGGTCAGTCACATAATCATAATGAAAGGAAGTAGCCTTGTTTATTCACAAAAATCACCTTGCAACCCACTCTGATTATTAGAATGGGCAGTCCCAGAGATGAGAAGTAGCACACAGCCAGGGTCTCTCAACAGCAATCCATTGAATGGAGAACTGACATGCAAATCCACACCACACCACACCGTTACCAGGGAACTTGCAAGGAAACTAATGTTTTAAGTTGGAGACATTGTAAAGTATAAAAATCAGATTTCTTTTCTTGATGAAATTTTTTATTTCAGTCTCTCTGTTGCTAGCACTACCTTAGAGCCCTGAAACTAAAAGCTCTTTTGAAATCCACTTTTTCATTCTCTCATCTAGTCACACCTAGAATGTGACATTGAATTTTGAGTATCTCTGTGCCAGAAGGATGTCGACAAACTGGAGGGAATTCAGAGAAGAAAGAAAAATCAGGAAACATTAGAAGAATAAGTGGAAAAAATAGTCTGATTAATTCACAACTAAGAAGGGTGTGTGGGGGGATGTAACTACCTATGCATATTTGATGGCTGCAAACAGCAGGGAGGGGAGGAATTGAGTACAGATAGGACTTGGAATAAAGTGGTGAAAGTGAACAAAGGGGTGTGTTTCCTACTGAATATCAGGAAATATTTCCTGTCACTGAGGAAGCAGTATGAGCCTCATTGCCTGAGTTATAGAAAACAAGGTTGAACAAAGCCCTGGAGAACAGACTATAGGGAACAATCCTGAATAAGCCAGGGAGCGGTTAAAATGTGATCTTGTAAGTGTCTTTCTGACCCCTAGCACAGGGGTTCTCAAACTGGGGGTCAGGACTCCTCGGGGGGTCGTGAGGTTATTACATGGGGGGGTCGAGAGCTGTCAGCCTCCATTCCAAACCGCACTTTGCCTCCAGCATTTATAATGGTGTTAAATATATAAAAAGGTGTTTTTAATTTATAAGTGGGGGGTCGCACTCAGAGGCTTGCTGTGTGAAGGGGGTCACCAGTACAAAAGTTTGAGAACCACTGCCCTAGCACATATTCAGTTACAGGAATGCTCTGTTTAGCCTACTTGTATGTTGTTGCTTAAAGCAGGTGGACTTAATGACATTATGGCTAGGACCAGACAAGGTGGGAGGAAATCACACTCCAGGAACATAACCTTCAGGACAAGTGAAGCAAGGTTGCAAGATGTAGTACTGTGCTGTCAGGATTTTGGCCCAGGAAGATCCTATGCTCCTGGAAAAGTCCTCCCCCCCACCCCCCCCCCCAAACCAGGACATGCTAAGAAGACATTTGGACAATACTAACAATGCTATAATTAACATGTTGATGCTTTACTGGGTAGCCCTCTGCTGTTAGAATGAACTGCAGGAGAAGGGAGGATTGG